CAAAAGGCTCCAACAAGGCCAAAGCATGTTTTACAAAAGTGACCTTCCACAGAAAACTTTCCTGCTAAAGGCACTAATGGGCAAGCCTGTATCCAATATGTAAAGCTACCGTTTAAATCAAAGCAAATGAAACCTTCTGCATGCTTATATCACAAAACAGGATTCTAGCAGCATTTCCTTTCTCACGGTGAATATCTAAAACCTGGTATTGAGATAGCAACTAGAAAACTGTTTGGGTCCCAGTGTTCAGAAAGGAAATTAACTATTCAGGAAAGTGCTGACTTTCTAAGAACAACTAAAAGTAGACTTAAAGCTGCAAGCACTAAGCGCAGAAAAGACGGCTCTGTTTGAGTGAAGAAGGAATGTGCTCTGCTTGGCTCTGAAACCCTCCCTGACCTTTACATTTCAACCCAAAGAGCAGCATACATAACAGAGATGAGGCAGATGGAGGAGATCTCTCAGAAGCAAATGTTTTGGTTTTAAACCTGGACCTATGTCCCTTTTAGAAGTACTGTAAAGATGGGAAGGCAATTGCTCCTGTCTCAACGAGATGATGAGACAGACTGAGTAGACTTCTTAGGGGAGGCCTTACCCTCTCTGAGGAGCAGGTGACGGGTGGGGGAGAGCGGGAGGAGAGGAGGGAGGGGGAACTGGGATTGGAATGTAAAAACTACATTAATATAAAAATATCTTTTCAAAATGGGAATGAGTCTACCACAAGATCCAGCAATTCCACTCCTAGGCATATACCCAAAAGAAGCACATTCACACAACAAAGACATCTTTTCAACTATGTTCATAGCAGCACTATTTGTAATAGCCAGAAACTGGAAGCAGCCTAGATGCCTCTCAACCGAAGAATGGATGGAGAAAATGTGGTACATTTACACAATGGAGTACTACTCAGCAGAAAAAAACAATGGAATCTTGAAATTTGCAGGAAAATGGATGGAACTCGAAGAAACCATTCTGAGCGAGGTAACCCAATCACAAAAAGACAAACATGATATGTACTCACTCATATGTGGATTTTAGACATAGAGTAAAGGATTACCAGCCTACAATCCACACTGCCAGAGAAACTAGTGAACAAGGAGGACCCTAAAGGAGACAAACTTTGTCCCCTGGAGAAGGGGAAAGGGTCAAGGTCCCCTGAGCAAATTGAGAGCATGGGAAGAGGGGGGAGGGAGCTAGGAGGATGAGAAGGAAAGAAGAGGAAGGATGCAGAGGTCATGAGGGAGCAGAAAGGTTGAGTCAGGTGTAGACTAGAAGAAAGGATATGTGATAGATAGGTAGGGTTTTAGTTGGGGGGTGGTAGGGGAGGAAGGGAGGGAGAAGGGAACTGGAATTGTCATGTAATTCAATCTTGTTTGTAATTCAAATAAAAAATGATAAAAAATATCTTTTCAATAAATAAACTCTAAATTAAAGACAAAAATTAAAAAGATGGGAAGGCAAGTTCAGGGCTTTTATTGGGGATCTACCCCTCCTGAGGGTACCCTGCTGTTTCCCTCAAACTTCTAGGTTCCTTGAGTCCACGTAATCCCCTCCCCCAATCCCCAGTCATTCCTCACTCCAGCCCTGGAAAGGTGGAGCACCTTGGATAACTGACAAACTAGGGAAGAGACCCGCTAGCTCTCACTTCTTCTCAGTCACTCTTCTCCTTGGAATTATGCTCCTCACCATGCTGTGCCACTGAGAGGAAAACCTCTCTCCACGAAAACGAATGGGGAAATCACTTACTTAGAAAACAAAAACAAGCCTGGTCTCCAGAGCGAGTGCCAGCATAGGCTCCAAAGCTACACAAAGAAACCCTGTCTCAAAAAAACAAAAAACAAAAACCTGTTATTGAATGTCTGTCTGCCTAATTCTGTATTCCACCACTGGGCACCGCCTTACCAGCAATCGGGTTTAATTTGGTCCCTCCTAACATCATTGTCTTTCTCTAATTTTAACCTCAGGGCAGGAATAGGAAGGACATTTAAGAGGCACTGTAGAAAGAAGGTGTGAGAAATAGAATTTGAAACATAAATGTGTTTGTGATCTGTATGATCTGTGAGCCACCGTGTGCTGTCCAAGCTCAGAGAAGGCATGATGAGTGGCTTTGATAATGAAGTTGGTCTAGGTGAGCATTTTTAATCCAGAAGGTTGCCATAATGTAATGTTTTGGCCTGCAAATGTGATTTCCTGTGGTAATCACTTCCTGCCTCCCTTGGGCCTTAGAAAGGACCATTTAGAGACTTTCAAGTCAAAGCCACTGGAACCTCAGCAGAAATGTGGTCGTCACTGACAGCAGAGTCCTTTGGGAATTCCATCATATTGGCCCGATGCTAAGAGTCTGAAGTGACTGTTAACAATGATACACACACACTTTGATCATAGCGCTGTGCTACCCATGTTGAAAACATGCAAATGTGTGGGTGTTAACAGCAGTTATGCAAGGAAAAGGGACATTACCAGAACATAGCACCAGGCATGCTCAGTACTGTGCAGAGGACATTCAGTGTGTCTGCAGAAGACACTCATTGTGTCTGCAGGAAGGAAAGTCAACAGGGAATGCCGTCTTATCGTCCTTGCCTTGACTTGTGCCAGTCATTCTCTTCTTTGGGGAATCTATTACCTGTGGTCTTTAAACAGTTAGCAGAGACCCTCCTCCATCTCCAACCCCATGGACTCAGGAGGCCTTTAAAGAGTGTGCAATGTGACACGAGTTAAGATGAGAGCAGAGGGCTTGTGGGAGTCCTCTCCAGCTCCAGCAGCTGTGCAAGGCACAACCTGAGCAGCAAGCTTTGTGTGGGGATAAGGAGTTTAGACGCTGCAGCTGCAGTCTTTAGTGAAAGAGACATTTCCTAACACGTTTAAGTATAAACGGGAAGAATATGTACTGATTATTCAGTTTCCAAGGCAACTGGGTTCCAACGAAGAGTCCTCTTAAGGTTCTAGCTTTTGAGAGAGAAATGCAGGCCAGCGGGGCACACCAAATTTCATACTTAGTCAAGGAGTGAACAGCGGAGATTCAAGCCTTGAATACAAGTGGCTCCTCTTCAGTAGACGTTGTGTTGTTTAAACCTACTTAAGAGGCCAGCCAATCCCAGGGCAGACACTTTCTTAAAACACATCCTAGTGGCCCTGGCCTAATCACATGTGTGCTACGGAAATGGGCTTCAAGCCCTGAGAGCGCCTGCTCAGGCCCCTCAGCCCTCAGAACCCTCCTGTTGGAACAGGACGTGTAAATCAAGGCATCTGTCTCCCTGCATGTTTACTATCAAAACCGAGCTATGTCTAAGTGGTCCCAACACGGATTCAGGTTGTGAGTTCCGGAACAAACACATCTCTCAGGAGTAGAAAACAGAACTTGTTTTCTTGTTTGCTTGCTTGTTTTTGTTCGTTTGTTTGCTTGTTTTTTAATGTATCATTGAATTCTCTTATTTCATTGGGCAGTACTAGGTACTGAGTTCAGGGACTATAGCTCTGTCTAATACAAGTGATTTACGGCTTGGAAATTTGCTTACTTCAAATAAATATCACTGTGATGATGTTATTTATAACCCTCATACTCTAAACCAGTGGTTCTCAACCTGTGGGCCATGACCCGTTTGGGGACAAACAACCCTTTCACAGAGGTCACCTAAAACTACTGGAAAACACAGAGATTTACGATTCATAACAGTAGTAAAATTATACTCATGAAGTAGCAGCAAAACAAATCTCATGGTTGGGGGTCACCACAGCATGAGGGACTATATTAAAGGGTCACAGTTAAGAACCAATGGGCAGTTAAACAGTGACCACACCAGACACCCAGCCGTAGCCTTAACCCTTCCCAGGTCCCTGCAGGAGCTCTCACAGGGCAGAAAGCTAAGGTTCCCAGGGGAACCTCTACCCTACCCTAAGCATAAAGTGTCCTGCTAGGAGTGAATAAAAACCTGGTGGGGCAGTTTGGGGTGTTGTTTTTCTTAAAAGTTTTTGAACTCTGAACTCAGGTGGGCTCTGGATTTGAACTTCCCAAGGGACGGGATCTTTGTTCATCTGCAGAGAAGAGCCACCGTCTCCCGCTATTGGGCATCTTCGGCATTTCCTGCTCCCAACGCACAATCTCAGATCCACTACTAATATAAGGGGCAGAGAGAGAGGAAGGGGTTTCGGTGGAGAGCTGGGATTTTGTGGTTTGGAGCACACAAGGAACTTCTGGATTTACTTAGTTACTAGTGCATTGTTGAATCCACTTGGGAGTCTCCTGAGGCACCGTCTACAGACCACCCACAGCCCCAAACCCTGACAGCCTGAAGCTGGAACCTCATAGTGGAAGTGGCTTCCTCCTCTAGGGTGTCAATAAGAACTCCCAGAAAGCAGCTGTGTCTGCAAACTGACTGACTAGAAGTTGGAATGTTACAGGTTCAAACCTATCTCAGACTAACTTTAGTCTCTTGAATGGCCTCAAAGCCTGGCAGCTGCTCAAAGCTCAGCTTTCAAGGCCTTGTTGGAGCAACAGATTTGAGAAATAATTTGAGAAATCTGTGCATGTGTTTCATAGATAAACTAGGATGTCAGTCTTCAAGATACCACAGTCTCTCTCACTGGCCTGGGACTCACCAAGTAGGTCAGGCTGCCAGGGCAGAGAGCCCTAGGGATCTGCTAGATGCTGCCTTTCTATGCTGCCAGTGTCAGGAAGCCATGGTTCAAACCCCCGTGGCCATACTTGGCATTTTTTATATGGTTTCTGGGAATTGAACTCAGGTCTATGACAAGCACTGTACCAACAAACCAATCTTCTCAGACCCTTTACATGCCCCTAATTCAGAGACTGAAATTAAGTAACTGAAATGCAAGACTAAGATGTGTGTCTTCCATTACTAAGCACTGGAGTCTTTTCAGACATAAGATAATCAACTCACGGAAATTCTCCCCTCCCAACACATCATCTGACTTCCGGTAACTAATCAAAGGATTAACACTGGTGAGTGCGCATGAGCAGTGAGGCATGGAATGTACAACTCTTGTCCATTAAAAGCAGGGTTAGGAACTTTATTTAACTGTCAGTCTACCATCAGCATCGAATACTTATATTTCAACACATTTAGACAAGGATATCAGGAAGGCAATGTAAATTAAATATTATAAAGTGTACTTCTAATGAAACATGGGCTTAATAGGACATGAATATATAAGTCCAGTGGTTTTATTGAAGTTAGAAAAATTATATTATGAAAGATACAAAACATCAATATTATTATCTGTTTATTTTACAATCAGTATGCCATCTTTTACCATTATGGCTTTAAATTTTCATTCCACCCAACAGGCATCAAAGAATAGTTTAGTACATGCCTTAATAAAACAGTTAAAATATTTACAAATTCAAAATAGATGTTTTTGTAACTGAAAGGTTCACCTGAGAATTCACTGTAACATCGCCATTTGCTTCTCTTTTTTTCCAAATTGTTAATGTGGCTGAGTGTCCTCACGCCACCTCCAACATCCCCTGTGTCATATATGTTGAATTCCTAACTTAAAATTGGCTAAGCATCAAGCTACAGTAAATTGTTATAGAGCTTGCAGGTGGACAATCAATGCTATATCCATATTTATTCTGAATATAACAATTTAACAAAGTATTTGCTTGTAGCTATAGTATTCAAATAAGGGGCAAAAATTTAAGATGACATTATTGTATTGAGTCAGATACAACAACTTTAAAAAAATAAAATAAAATCACCAGGCATTGAGAAGGCCAGATCATACAACAAGGAGCCATGATTTGTGAATATGCAAAACACAAACTAAAAACATTGTCAAAACTCTGCATGAAGGAAAAGGCATACATTGTACACATATGATCCTATCATTTGTCTTCGGCACCCCCCCCCAAAAAAATATTTCCTTGAAACAAATAGGCATAAATGTGTAATGCTATGCAATATACAGAAAACCAACCCACCTTATGGCCAAAAGACAAAGGTAAAATCCTTCCTGTCCATCTAATACAACTTGAAAATCACATAGGTATGAGGTAGTGTAGTTACTTGTATTATATGCTGGCTGTTAAAAGTAATGCTAAATCTTAAGAAATACTACACTTGGCCAATTACCAAACAGCATAAAAATTAACCCTTAATGCTAAACTGTTCATAGGGAGACTAAACCAAGTGTCTTAAAAAAAAAAATCTTTAAATTGAGGAGAGAACTGCATTTTATCATAAAGTGGTAAGTAACTTTCCAAAAGCAAATATTTACAGTTACATTTAAAGCAAAAAAATTTGACATTAGGTACACACAAAAACTGATGACAGACAGCCGAGTGTACAGTGAGGTAGGAGATCGAGGGTTCCATTGGCTTCTATAAGATTTTACACTTTGTAAACCAGAGAAGTTTTCATATTATTTTATGTTAAGTTGAAATCTAAAATTACAAGTATCAGATAGCTGCGTGGGGACATATACATACATATATACACAGCTCTTTTGTAACATGCGATGCCTGGTCACAGTGAGCATTCTCTCCCAGACGAACTGAGTGGACTTTTCCAAGTTTCTAGGAAATAATTCCAACTTAATTTTCTCTTCCAAAGATAAAATATACACTATCCTTCCTCCCTCCCTGCACCCCAAGAAAAAAGGGCATCATCTGACAACTTCCTATGAAATTATGAAAGATTGATTCTGGTCCCCATTGTTCTCACAGCAAACATCAGCTTGCTACTAGACTGACTTGATACCACACTCAGGGTGGCTCTCTGGCGTGCTCTCTCCCTCTCCCTCTCCCTCTCCTTCCCCACCCCCACCCCCACCCTCTCTCTCTAGGATCTCCACTAGATGTGGCATGCAGTAGAGATGAGTGTCTCTTTCAGATACCTGACTTGGAGAGATGATGTCCTATGGACTGTTCCTCGTTCCTTTAAAGAGGACTCTACAACGGCTTCTGGGAGCATCCTGAGAGGCTCCCTTATGGGGGCGGGGGTGAGACCAGAGGTGCTTCACACCTCAGTTTTCCTACTATCAAATATCCACTTCCACAGACTGCTACGAGACAGCTTAACGATAAGACCCTCCCCCCAAGTCTTGGTGAAGTTCCTATGTACCTTACACACAGAGCTCAAAGCTCTCAGAAGATGCTGAAGATCCTGTTTTGACTGTGACCTGCCTCCGGAGATCAGGATTGGGACATCCCACATGTGGTGTCAGCTGTACTCAGAGCGTTGACAACTTTAAGGCGTTTCACATTCCTTGAGTAGGGATACTGAACCTGTATATACAGGGTTTTCTTTCCACTGCAGAGGTCTGCAGTGTGAGATTCCAGAACAGTTAAGAATCACTGCAAAAATGTTATGGGGTAGATGCTCAGACGAATTATTATAAATTCATTTTCTACCAACATTAAATAAGCACAAGGCTGACTTCTCAATGTCCAAGTCAAAGTGATGTGTGTGTCTCCACAGCATACCAAAGCGGGGGGAAGGATTAAAGGAGTCACCCTGCTTCTCAAGTGCAAACCATAATGGACTGAGACGGAAATCTATGGTTTCTAACGCCAGCAGAGCTGAGCAGCCACCTTTGCTCCAACAAGGCTTTTTACAGAGCACACTCTTCATTAGGATGCCAATGAGCTGCGCTCTGGTCAATGTGGACATCCCTCTCACCCGATCCCAATGCCCTCCTGGGCACTGGTGACCTGCGGCAAGACATCAAGCCTCTCGCAGGGTGAAGCTCTCCAGATCTGTGGCAACTACAGTTCTGGCCAGCTTGTGCACACTCAGGCCATTCAGCCTAACTCCCATGTCTTCCTCCAAGGGACAAGAAGGGAACAGAAAGTTCCTAACTGGCCTAGACATGGCAGAGAGTACAGAGGGGAACAAAGAGCAGGGAAAATGACATTATCTACTGTTTGTGCAGCCAGAAGTCAATACTGAGGAGAGGAGGCCTCCAGCTCAGGCCAGCTGGGGCCCTTCACTATGTCCTGCCAGGACAGCCTCGGGGTCACCAGGTCCAGCCCACGCTGGATTTTGGTAGGAGCTGAGGAGCAGAGCGTTAGAGTTCAAAGAAGATTTTTTTCCCACGTAACACAAACACTCTCAGCACTGACAGCCCCCTCTGGGTAGATCACCACCACACTGCTTGGGGAGAATTTTTCTTTTTGATCAGTATACTGCCAAAAGGTAGATTATCAAGCTTCCACAGGCCAGGAGGACCGTGTGCAGATGCTTCAAGCTGTTGAAAGGGACACCACAGTTCTCACTGCGGTAGGTATTTTGAATACTGGGAGATTATTACTCTATATTTTCACATGTGATTTTTCAGCATCCAAGAGGTAAGTCATGTCATGTCTCCTGTGAAAATCAAGGAGAACTCAGGGTTCTTAAAAGAGAAATTCCCTCAATGGAAAGCTACCAGGGGGAAGCAGGGCTACTAACAAGTAGACATGGCAGGTGCGGCTCTCGGGACAATGCCAAAACTTCCGGAGGAAATCCACGGGCTGAAGGGTGCTCGTGCGGTTTACTCATCGGTAGTACACTTGTCAGTCATCTGCTGACAGAAGTCTGAGATGCCACCACTCTGCCGACAGGGTTCCAACAGTGTGGCCTGCTCTAGGGCAGCTGCGGTGGTTGGCGTGGTTGTCTGGGACACTTGCACCTGGCCTGCCTTGCTGCTCCCTGGCCCACAGGGACGTGGTGCAGGTGGAGGCACATCAGACACACTGAAGGCTGAAGGAAAAGCAAGCTCACCGGCAGGAGCACTTTTTCCTTTCTCAGACACTAAGAAAGAAAGCGGGCAGTCTGAGGCCGAGTATTTGGCGAGGATCTGAATCTGCTCCTGACTCAGGGCGGCTTCCTTGCACACTTGCTGGCAAAGTCCCGTGAGATTCTGCTTCGTTTCACCCAGCGTTGACAGAATGTGATCTCGCTCCTTCAGCAGGCTCTCCTTTTCACTTTGCTGTGCAGAGGGGAGAGAGAACACAATGGCTCGTGTTTATTGGGTCCACCGACATTTCTAAAGGCAATCAGACATTCAGTATCCACAATGTCTTCTCCTTCAGCCAACTCAAATACACACCCTCCTCAAGTCACCCCAGAGTGGCCTGCACATCAGTGTGTGCCACAGCACTGTTGACAACAGTCAAGGCACAGGACTAACGGAGGACGGGATGACGTGGTATAAGTGCACAATGGAATTTCTTCCGCCACAGAGAAAAGTGAAGTTATGGGATTCTCAGGAAAATACATGCAACTGGAGTTCACATGAAGTGAATGAAGCCAGCGTTTGAAAGTTCTCTCTCGTATGTAGGTCCTAGCTTTTTAGATACGACACATAAAAAATCACATATGACATGAAAACAGAAACAAAACAAGTCTAGAGAAACAGAGGAGACTGAAAGAGATGGGGGCCAGAAAGGGGAGTGGTGGGAATGTATACAATGTGTAATAGGCACCCGACTGACAGAATCCTCATGTCAGGTAGTGTACTACCATGTACCAGGAATACATAAAATTTAAAACTCAACACACACACACACACACACACACGTTAAATACCAAAACCTCATGATCCTTCATCCAAAACTAGAGACAGCCCTATGATGGAATTCATAGCTGTTCCCATTCCAGAGCGGTAGGTGCCCACACAGTGCTCCAGGGCGTGTGCAGTAGCATCCATCATTAAGCATCTCTATACTTTTAAATAAAACACTGAAATATCAAATAAGGCAGAAAGTAGGCAGAAACTACTGATAGCTGGTTATCAAATTTGGCTGGGTTCAAGCCAAGATTCTAAGACAAATTGCCGTACTGAGAGTTTGAATTTGAACTGTGGAAAGCATGGACTTGACACTGTGCAGACAGCAACACGGTTTTCCTGGTTTAGCCCTAAGACTTACCCCACGCCACTGTAAGATTCAGCTAATGCCTGCTTTCCTGAGACCAGACTATGAGCCCAAGATCATGGTTAATGTTTTTTTGTTTTGTTTTGTTTTGTTTGGGGGGTTGTAAACAATCTTATTTTACAAACCAATCCCAGTTCCCTCCCCCTCCAGTCCTCTCACTGCCCCCACCTCCTTCCCACCCCTCCCATGGTCAATGTTCTGAAATATGCAATCTCAGCTATACAGTCCATACACGGACTCAGTAAACAGGAGGAAAACTTTGGCAAATCCATAGATAAGATTGTTGGGCACTGAGTTTCTATAGTATAAGGAGTGAAGGGAGTTAACCTGAGTTTATCGTTTCCAGTAGCGTAATTTTTTAAAAATCCCTACAGGAAAGTCCACCACAAAACTTTCCCAAGATTTCCTGGCTCTGTCCTTCCTGTCCACATCAGGTATCACCAAAAATGGCACTCCCCTCTTTCACATTCCAGCGTCTCACTCCTAATCCAGAGGAGCCAGGCAACCGAGCAATCCAGCTGCTTGTAAAGTTAGCAGAAGGCCAAAGGTTTCACCTGCAAAAACTGTATGCTAGCGTCTGGGGGACCAGGGGCCACCTGTCTCCTCTCTGCTCACTGACAGGTTCTGGAGAGGCCGAGATTCTAGAGAACACGGAGATGAGGTATTTCACATGGATGATTCCTAACTATCAGAGTCTGTGTCCCTTCGGGCACAGTTTAAGAGCTAATGACAGCTTTGCTAGATGCATATGGACTGTTACTACAACTTCAAAGGAAAATACTTCTACAAAGTCATGTGAGAATTCAATTAGTGGGTTTTGAAAACATTAAAATTATATAATTTTTAAAGAGGAATACCTTTGTTATAAACACAATATAAATTTTTATATTGCAAAGTAATTCTCCAATTTGTTCAGGTTTCTAGGTTTGTCTCAAAATAAGAAGAGCAGGTCAAGAAAGAACGTGTGCACGCTTGCATGTGAGCTAGGTTAACTCAGCCATTTCCTCGTACACAGAATCTGCCAGTTAAAGGGACAAATAAAATCCGCCTGGAGTGCAAGGGGACAAGACCAGCACTGACTTCCAGTCCTAAGAAAAAGCACGTTTAATGTCACCCGTACCCTCTCTTCTTGGGACCTCTCAGAAGCTCTCTTAATGGAAATAAAAACGAAGCCTCCAGGAGAGAATAAGAACCTGCTTCTTGGTTCTTCTATCAAAGCCATTCTGAACAGCAATAGACAAAATGCCAAGTGATGCTGGCCTCTCCCATTAGGAAAGGTTAGCGTTAACTGTGACCATTGGGCTTCCTCCCACACACAGGTCCCATTGCTTTGAGATGGTACGAACATACAAATACTATGTGATGTCTGTATCTCCATGAAAATATCTACCTATCTGATCCCTCCATAGTCACACTCCTCCTACCCCACTAAGAAAGAGATGACTCCATTCGTTAACAATATCAGAGAAGAGTGCGGGCAGACGGCTCAGTGAGTTGAGAATCGTTGCCAATTATAAGGACACGAGTTCGAATCCCCAGAAACCTTGAAATAAAGCTATGTGTGGCCATCCCCTGCTGTAGCCGCAGTACTAGGGGTGGAGGAAGGAGTTAGGAGGACTACTGAGGCTTGCTGGCCAGTCTAGAAAAAAAAGGGCAAGCTGCAGGTCTCAAGGGAGAAAGGCGGAGGGCAATGGAGAAGGGCACTTTGGTCTCTCATAAACACATAGGAACATGTACCAAACACGCATGCATGCATGCGAGTGCACACACACACACCAAACATACAACTTAAAAAATAACAATGTCCATGGGACTGATCCAGACCCCCTGAATGTGGGTGTCAGTGAGGAGACCTTGGAAATCTACAGGACCTCTTGTAGTGGATCAGTACTTATCCCTAGCATAGGAATGGACTCTGGAAGCCCATCCCACATGGAGGGATCCTCCCTCAGCCTAGACACAAGGGGGTTGGCCTAGGCCCTATCCCAAAGAATAAGACAGACTTTGAAGACCCCTATGGAAGGCCTCGCCCTCCCTTGGGAGCAGAAAGGGTATGGGATAGGTAGGGTGTTAGTTGGGGGGAGGCAGAGGAGGAGGGAAGGGAAAGGGACCTGGGATTGACATGGAAAATAACTTTCTTTCTAATAAAATAAATAAATAAATAACAATGTCTCACAGAAGATGGCTTGTGCCCAGCTCCACCCAGAGATCCAGAATCTTTCGTCTATTTCTCAAATCCCAAGCAATTCCTACACAACCACATCTGCAGCAGTTAGCGGGCGTTTCCACTTCCTTCTAACTCTAAAATGCAAATTTACTACGGCAGGAATAGTTGTTAAGTAGAAAACTAAAGAAATCCAACACAATCACTTCTGAACATTTATTAGCACCTCCCAAACAAAGGAGGATCAGGAGGTCAACGCCAACCTAGGCAACTTAAGTGAGGATCAGCTCCAGACATTTTCCAAAAGGGGGTGGCAACAGTTCAGTGCTTACCTAACATGCTCGAGGCCCCGAGTTTAATACTGGGGAAGGGGGAATGATGTCTCAGTACCCCAACCTCAAACACAAGCCACCGTACAGCCATCTACACGGTGCCACCTGCAGCACACCTGGGCTGACATATGGCTGCTAGCTCCTGGGCTACAAACTTGAACAGCGTGTTCCTCACTGAAGCAAGCAGTGACACACACTCCTAAGTGTTTGCGTATCTGCACCTATCTAAACAGGAGAAGGGCACAGTGGAGATATGGCCCTGAAGATTACAAATGTCCACCTGCACAGGGGCTTGCACACTGGGGCTGCTGGGCCTGGACTGCTCTGGTGAGAGGATGAGCAAGTGAAAGACCTGGGACGGCACTGTGCACAGCAGGGCCCTCGCAACGACAAACTCGGGCTACACTAAATGTTTCCACAGGTGGAGGTTTTTCTTCTGGTTATTATGAATTCTTTACTCTTTAAGCTTTTTTTTTTTAAACTTCTGACTGTTTTGAAATAACACTTAGCTTACAACACAGAAAAGTAAAATTAAATGGTGATGACAGAGAGTTCCAGGCTTGTACCTAAAACGAGTTCAAATACTGTGCAGCTATACTAAGTATTTTCTCTATGTCCTCAGCCTTTCTTTAGTTTTCTTCTTTACCTTTGAAAGTGTTTGGTTAAAACTAGGACACACACTGGCCCTGTCTGCACAGGATCCCACCTCCACGCTTTGCTGCTCTGGAGGGTCTTCAGGGGTGTGACACACATGGGCCTGTCCTCCTCCTGAGGCCCTGCCTGAGGCTCTGCTGTGAAGGCTCGCCTTGCAGAGACAGCTGCATCCCATCAAATGGAGAGGATGAGCAACACTCATCTCTGCTAGGGGAGCCCCTTATTATTACATTCATTTATGTGTGGTGGCATGAGGGCAGCTTGTGAGAATTCTCCTGACCCACCATGTGGGTCCCATGGATTAAACTCAAGCCGCCGGGCTTGCTGTGAAGCCCTTTCCTCACTGAGGCACCTTGCTCACCTGGGAGTCGGACTGCGGAAGGAACTTGCTGTGACTACAGATGCTGCCTCTGAACCTCCATCCTTTCTCCTGCAGCTCCCACCCCCACCTCAGCCCCTGCAAGGTGATAGCAATCCAGCAGCTTTTGCGCTGCAGGAGAGTCAGATTCGGTGGAACACTGACAGGATGTCACCAGATACCACACATCTGTAAGGTAAACATCACTTTTTTTTTTTCTTTTTCTTTTTGGCAGTTTCCTGATTCTTATTTGCTTTCTGCCTTTTTTTTTTTTTTTTTTTTGTCTGAGAAGGGCATCAGAGGCAGGACAGACATTTGTAGTGTGCCCCTTGCCTCTGCAACTGAGGTTTGTACAAATTGCTGGAACGAGAATAGTAAGGACTGGGGGAGGGGGCAATAGACACCCATAACCCAGCACTGCCACACACAAGCCAACACGACTCTCCAGGTGGCTATGGAAAGAGGCCAGTGACAGACCTGAGCTGCAGGCACAGCAGGCCCCACCAGTTCTGCTTGGCCTGCTCTGAAGGGCAGGCTTCTCAGCTCTCTGCTATGGTCTGTGCTCTCTAGTCATCCTCCTTACTCCTCCTGGGGCATTTAGAGCTGATTATAAATGTCACTTGTCCTCGTGAATCCCTTAGGAGCTGGGAGCAACCCACTCCTGGGTTCCTGGAGGCTGGAGGTGTTGAAGCTTCTGGTTCCATGCTGTTCACCTGGCTCCTTTCTCTGGCCTCCACCACAACAGATAATTCCATCTACTCTTCAGATGGTCCCTGGTTTTTGTAGTCAAGAGTCCCAATCAATAAAAGAGTTAGACTGGAAACTAGCCGTTTTGGTTTCTGAGTTCACAAAAAGGCTTGAGGACCTACCAGCCTTACACTGGAAAGCAAGGATCTTTCTGTTAACCAGATGAAAGGAGTCCTCCTCGGCTGAGAGGAAGAGAGGGGAGGAGGACCTACCAGAGTTCACAACTGGGATGCTTAGTTTTTTGTCAATTTGCCACTAGCTAGCCTCATCCCAGATGAAGGAACCTCAACTGAGAAAGTACTTCTGACAGACTGGCTCATAGGTGAGCCTGTGAGGCATTTCCTTGATTAATGGCCGATATGGAAGAACCCCGCCCATTGTGACTACTGCCACCCCTGGCAGGTGGTCCTGGGCAAGTAGCTGAGCAAAGCCATAGAGGGCAAGTCAATAAGCCTCAGCTCCTGCTTCCAGGTTCCCACCTTGAGCTCCTGCCCTGACTTCTCCTGATAACAGACTATGAGTGGAAGCATAAGCCAAATAAACCCTTTCCTCCCCAAGTTGCTTGTGGCTGTGGTGTTTATCATCGCAACAGAAAGTGAACTAAGATGATAGTTAGCAGAAGACACCAGGAAGGAAGCCAACAGAGGCGGAGAAAACTGACTTTAAGTACATGATGATATGGCCGTAACAAGAAATCCTAGTATTTACTGAGTGCTAGTATTTACCTCTACAGGAGGTACTTGCTGGGAGTTCTTCTGACACATTAATCCATTTGCTCTTCACCAATGAGCATCGTAACTAGAAAGTGCTAAGTAGCATTATCCCACCCACACACACTTTAGACTGCATATCCTTCCCTCCTCATCACCCTAGATATATGATCGGGCAACCCAGTTTCTGCATCAGTCTCCAGATATGAGACCTCTGAGCCAGGCAATGAAGAATTGCCAAGGTACTCTCAAACAGCACATTCCCCGTGCATAAAATAAAGTCAATCTTCTTCAACCTTGGTTATTTGTAGGAGAGTGAGAAGACTGGGTAAATGCTACAGATGACTATAAATTATGACCAGATAACTATAAATTATTACCAGTTGAGGAGAGAGATAAAGCAATGTAGAAGCAGAATTAAGCACTATAGTACAATCCTATTCCAGCTTCAAATAGTCCCACGAAGCTCAGTGATCTGTCACAGTAACTAACGACGACGACGAGCAGCACTCTATAAACTCACCCAACCAAAGGCAGCAGAGCACTAAAGTGGGATAATATGAGAGATTAGGGGTGTTTAAAGGCTCGCTCGGCTGTGTGGATCTGTTCTGCCATCCTAAAGTTACTCTGCATTCCCACTGGATTTCTCCTTATCATTTCAGTTATACTGTACCCTTTCCCTAAAGTAGTACACAGTATATACATAATAAAATGCTACGTTTCAACTACTCTTAAAACCATAAAGACATCTTTTTCTTTATACTGTTTCTAGTCTCACTCAGAGCCACAATGTTCACGCTTGGAGACCAGTTGCAAACACAACTTTAAACTTCCACCCATGGTTAGCAAAGACACAAAACTGAATATTTCGAGGGCTCCTTTTATTGTGCTGCTGCGCTGGTGCCTGGCCCACGTGCAGCCCTCAGCTGGCCTGGTTCAGGAGCTTCCTCTCACACAACACTTCCTTCCACCACCACAAGAGGAAAACAGAAATGAGAGCAAATTAATCTATCTTCCAATTAGTTTGTTTTGATGCCAAAAGAGATAGGTCTGCTAAGCAAGCACCCCTCACACTGAGGGTCTTGCTGTATCTCACAAGTTTCTATTCAAACCACAACTTCTCATCAGGGTTTTCCCCTTGGCAGAGAGAAACACTGGTTCATCTGCTTGGTTTTGGTATCAACCCAAACAGGTAAATCAGGTCCACAGCTCTACCCAACTGGAAAACAAGCTTTTATAGACATCAAACATCATAAAGTACTGTATAATTACTTTAATCTTTATTTAACCACTAAGGATTAGATAGAAGAGTCATTAAATTAAAAAAAAATCGTTAAAAAAAAAAAGCTACCCAGAAATGGATCCCCACCTACACATTTTGGTATATCATGCCAAAAATGTATACTGCATATACAATCAAAATAGCCAATGAAAACCTTGTTTTATATCTTCTCATCTCTCTACATGTCTTAATTTCTCTTAAAATGCTATTTGCAGAATTTAAGTAACTACTTATTCTACAAAATGAAAGAGCTGGGATTTAGTAACATTGAGAAATCCATCCACTTACCAGCTTCTCGATTTCTGATTCAAGGTTCTGAATACAGTCAAGTTTCCTCTTGCGACAGCGCTGTGCAGCGATTCTGTTCTTACTCCTTCTGCGGATGTCATGGATACAGTCCAGCTGCTCTGGGGTCAGTTTGTGCATCTTCAACAAGGACTGGAAATCATTCCTTGAGAGCGAAATTATTCGTTGAGCATTAAATGGCAGTTTTACCTAGGATGTGAAATAAACATTAGGAATGACTGACTACTAAGCACCACAACGAAGACACACAATACACACACATTAGCTACAGAAGAGGATGTGCATCACAGTTCCCAGAGTCTAACGTGCTGCAAAGAACCACACACCTTGGGGTTGGAGGGATGCAGAGTTCAGAGGGCTTACTGCCCCTGCAGAGCCGACGAGTCCTGTCCCAGCCCCCATGTCAGCCCCCATGTCACTGATGCCTCTGACTCCAGCTCCAGAATCCCACCGTCTGCTCTCTGTGGGCACCAGCTTACACGGGCACATCCCGGCACATGTACACACATCTGCACCAAGCTAAAACAAATCCAATTTCCACATAATCCACCCCAGGAGGAACTAACAGTTCAACTGACAACTCCTGGCCTGGGAGAGAGTTCAGGGGTCAAACACTTCAGCACACCAGACATACCCATCACGCGGCATTTACCTTACTACCGTACGCTAATACGCACTTTACTATCTACCTCGTTAACAACTTCTTTAGGATGTGCTCCTCATGTCCCCAAATAAAATCCATTCTATCTTTGAATGTTACCACACAACAGTGACACTACCCAATGCTGGGATAATTATGCTAGTCATTTCTATAGCACTTCAAAGAGCATCTTTTCTGTCAAAAAATGTAGCTTCATAGGACTTGTTTAAAAAGCTATATACATCTCATTTGCCAATGGAGAAACTGTTAAAACAAATGAGGACTATTTCCCCTAGACTATTTATTTTCTCATCTGTCTTTTTTGGCAGCTCCCATGACTGAACCCCGTGGCCTTACAATTCACCTCCTCCCAGAGCCAGGAAAAGGCAGCCTCTTCAGATGAACACCCTCTACTCACAACAGAGAGAAAGCTAATGATGAAGAATGGGACATGGAGAAACCCGACAGTCCTTCGTACATGGCTGGCGGGAACCAGTCAGCTACTATGCAAACCAGCATCAAGCTCTCACAAACATTAAAAATGTGTGCATGCCATGTAGCTAGTCGTCCTACTCCCGGGCATTTGTGCAAATGAACTGAAGGCAGTTCTTGAGTGATGTTTGTCTTCCCCTATTCACTGCAGGTCTCACACTCACAACGACCACCTGAACATCTGCACCCAGGTGAGCACATCAAGAAACTGTGACATATTATTCAGCCAGCTGTTTGAGAAACATCGCACTAAGTAAAATAAACCAAATTTCCTACATTATCTCGACTACTATAGGCGGTAATGTTAACAGGTAACCAAGGGCACCATTAGGATGTTGAAGCCACGGGCTGGGAGGAGGGGAGTGGGAAACAGGTGTTCAGTGACTTTTCATTACAAAAACAAGTTACAGAGATACGCTGTGTTAATACAAAAACCAGAGCTAACACTGCACTGTGCACTTAGGAACCCTTCCAAGGCCAGGCCGCCTGTCATTACTTGCTTCTGAAGTTTGTGAAGCATGCATACAAAGGGAAAGAGTGTGATTAAAAATTACTAATAAAAGCAAAGTGAAAACTGCCACTATAAAGAGAACGCTGACCTTTGCTGCATAGTCCCTACTTTCTGTCACTAAATCAGAGTCTCACAGGGTACAGGGATGCAGTAGTAAATATAAACTTATATACACTGACTGCACAAGTCAAACTTGATACAACTGATAAGTCAGTAGCGCATATCCATCAAACTAATGCCTGAAAGGACTAAAGAAAAATCAAGTAATAAATAAAAGCAATAGATCTGGAAAAATTAGGTCTAAGAAAACATCCCTTTCATGCCACAAGCCTGCAGCTCCTCACAGCCAACCATGGCTCACGACCACACACTGTTCTCGGGTTTGACGATCTGGGGCTATGAACACTACAGGCTATATGATGCCATCGTCCAAAAGTTACCATTAACCACTAGTGACAGAACTGCTATCGTTTTTCCCTACTGGGGCATCTGATTACACAAGTCCGACAGCCCGTGTGGGGGTCTCCTCCATGATCTATACACACACCGATGTGCAATACAAGCAAGCACACAGCAGTTCTTCGAACCCCATACATGCCCTATCACCACTCTGGTGTCGTGGCAGGCTCTCCTTCCTCTCTGCGCCAGGCACCAAGTGCACCTCTTAAGGAATGGCTGTGTCAACAGTGAGAGCACACTCACCTCACATTCCTGCTCCCGGGCCGAACAGGACTCGCTGTCCCCTTCTGTGTCGGTCTCAGAGTCATCTCCCAAGCTGATCACGCAAGCATAGGGACAAGGCTCCTGCTGAGGCTCTGTCACGTAATCGTAGTTTCCGATTTCCAAGTTGCTGGAGCAGCCTTCAGAACCCAGAGTACTGATGAAAGGGCAGTTGACGGAGCTGAGAGTTGTGAAAGTCCGCTGGCCCGGCTCCGGGCTCTCGCTGATCCTGATACCCAACCAGGGGCACTCGGAGCGCCTTTGCGAGCAGCCCTGTTCTGAACCCTCTTTGGCCGCGGCAGGTGACAACTGCATTTGGCAAGCAGAGTCCGTGCTGCAAATGTCACTCCAGAAGCCTTTGGCCAGGTGCTCTGCCACCTCCCTCTCCACACTACTCCGATCGCCGGATGCAAGGCTGCTGCTGTCTTCTTTGGGGCCCGCGTCAGATTTCAGGTACAAATCGGGATTTTCACCAAACGGCTTCTCTTCCTGGGCATCCGCACCTGGCAAAGGCTTTTCTGTTTTCACTGTTTTACTCTGCACCCCAGTGAAGCCCAAGTCACCAGACTGGTCGTATGTGTGTAAGAGAGGCAGGGAGTAGAGCCCGTGAGGGTCTGCAGAATTGTGCGGGAAGGGAGCCACTTCGCCACTCTGCGCCGTGGGGCCCCGAGAGGTGGGGTCTCTGCGCTTCGTCTCCTCGCTCTCCATGGCTGGCTTCGTTTCTTCACATTTTAAAATCACTTGCAAGTCTGCGCAGCCTTGTGCTCCCCCGACACACTCCAGGTCAGATGTCTCATTGGGTTGGACAAAAGCAGCGTGGACATCTTTGAGGCCGGATTCTAGGGTGCGGATCTTGTCAGTTCCAAACGCTTTCTGGAATTTTCTGTATTTGGGGCATAGAGATGGCAGCGCCAGGGTGCCATCCTTTTCCGAGCATATGGACTGGCACGTCTGGCTGGCACTGTCTTGGAGAGAGGGTGACGCTTTCACATTGCGCTGACACCTCTGGGGGTCACACTGAGGAGTCTGAACACTTTTCTTTTCCAAGAACTCCTCTGCCTCATCGATTTCTAGATCTTTCTGGTCGGAGAGTGAAATTTTAAAGTCTGCTTTCTGACAGTGTGAGGAGAAGCATTTTTTTCTGGCACATTCTTGCTGCTCTGCAGTGGAGTCCAAAAACTTAAACTTGAGAAACTGAAAGCAGGATTCCTCGATATTGTGCACAATTAAAAACTCCACACACTTGCAAACTTCGTCAACATTGTCTTTACTTAAAATGAGTTTGGCAGTGTAGGCAAACTGAATTAAAGGTTCAAATCCTTTAACTGTCACCTGTTAATACGAGAGATAAAAATAAGCATGTCATTTAACAGCTGACTAACAGGTTTAACAGCTGTCTAGCAGTGACAACAGGAGAAGAGCCACAGGGGGTGCAGGCTTATCTGTGAGCACTGAATGCTGAATGGGTACTTTATCTGGTAGGAAAAGGGGAGTGGTATAGCAGAGTCCCACCCAATGCCACAGGACTAGTCCTCCACTTTAGGAATAGCACGTCAACACGGTTTCCTCAGGAAGACATTACCATAATCTCCCCATGTGAATAAGTATCTATGAAATAAAGCAGGAGGGGTCCACCCACAGCCCTGCTAGAAGAAAATGGCAATGGGTATGCAAGGTGTCTGAGGCTAGCACAGCTCCCAGAGGCCAAACAAAGTGAACAGTAATAAACTATACATTGGAGCTTTTAAAATGAAAAGTATTTATAAAAATATCCTAACCATCAAAAAAGCACAATAAATCAAAGTATTGGCTGGACAGAGGTCAGAGATCATGGGCACTGGCTGCTCTTGCAGAGAGGCCTGAACTTGGCTCTCGGCATCCACACGGGGAAGGCTCACAGCTGCCTGCAGTTCTAGCGCTGGGGATCCATGCCTCCACAGGCACCTGTGCTCATGACACACACACACACACACACACGTCACACACATCACACATGCAGTCACACACACATCCACAGTCACACACGTCACACACACTCACACACATCACACGTGTACTCACACACACACACACACACACACACACACACACACACGTCACACACATCACACATGCACTCGCATGCACAAATGCACACATATGTCACACACAAAAAAACTTAAAAAAAAACCAAATCTTTAAAAATGATTATTTCTAATAATAAATTTTTAAGAGTCCAGACTACAAAAGCTCTAAGCCCCCACCTCTCCGCTGCTTCGGCAAACTGAGCAGACACCTGTATGTTTACACTGAGACTGTATATGCAAGGCAGGGGTGGGGGGTGGGAAAGCCTGCAAATTCGAACAGAAAGTTCACCTGGGTTAAAAATACAAATTACACTTAAAACTTTGAGTTACTACCAGATTGACCAAAATACTAAGACTCTCCTAAAACATGCTAACCTTACAGCGTTTAGCATGAAACCACTAAAATAAGCACTACTAAATTCTTCAAGAACAATGAAACTGGGTCACTTCCAATGCTGGTAGGGCTGTCAGATGAATACCCACTTGAAGAAACCACTAGGTCGTTTCTTAAAAAAACAAAATGTGCAAAACTACCTTATGACCAGAAATTGCACTTCTGTTTTTTTTTAATCCCTGATTAATGAACATTCTTCCACACACACAGAAAAACCTACACAAACTTTTATCTGTTACACATAAAAATTGAACCTACTCTCAATCCCTTCAACAGGTGAAAAGGTTTTAAAAAGGAAAATTAAGACATAATTATTACAGTATTCATCAGCAACAAAGAATAAACTATTGGTACAAGAAATCCGAATAACAGGAAGTTATCCTAAGTGAAAAAGGGCGCGTAACACTGCACTGCCCCACTTCTATGACCGCTTTGAAATGACAAAACTTCACAAGAGGAGGACAGAGAAGTGGCTGCCAGCACCTAGAGACAGAAGAGGGGAGGGGAGTATGGGGCCCAAGCGTGGGAAGGAATAGCATAGCAGCAGCGGGATCCTTGGTGATCCAGATCTAACCAGCAGCGAATTCAGAAATCCTCAGAACTTACACAGCCTGAGCAATACATGTAACACTGCGGCCATCAGCTCACCACGCATGGACTGTGTCCACATCAACATTCCTATTGGGACATTATTACTTTTTCAAAATGTTACCGATGGAACACGGAGAAAAGAGTAAAAGAAATTCTGCATTACTCTGAATTTATAATAACCTGAATGAAAATGTCAATTAAAATTTCCCAAAATATACCAAAAAACAAATATATGCAATGTTTTCAACCTGTCCCTGTGATGAGACAGTTGACTATTTGAAAACTTGTGATATATCTTTTGTCAGAATAAACATAAAACATCCAAATGTACGCACTATGCATACAGATGTGGATTAAAATAAACATCTTCTCTTCAAACCCATTAGACAAACTTTGTTCTACCTGTAAAGCCTCATTAAATAGTCTGAAATATGAACTGTAGAAAGCAAACCCACGCTGTGACTACTGTTCTTCTGTAAAATCAATGGTAGGGAACCCTTGGCTCACACCCAACACTACAGTCACAGTAACACACAAGATGAATTCGCACTTTATCCAACTATGCCCAACAGGGAACATCACACAGTACGTCATACACAAGAAGTCTACACATTTCCTCCTAGTCTCCTCAAAACTCTTTATGTCCAAGGTCAAAATAGATTAAGAACAGTGACTGCCAAAGCACACACCCCAATAAATAGAGCCAGGAAGAATCAGTGCAACCAGCCCCACCCCACCTCAGACAAGCCCCTTGAGGTTAGGACAATGACAAAGACCCTAGTATTTACAAGCTTAAGTTACAGACTGGGGATGGAAAGGTGTGTGTAAAACAAGACAACAAACTATTTTGCTTTTTAACGTTTATTTGTTTGTTTACTGGGTGGGGAGGTGGGAAGGTGTGTGCCAGCTCACATGTGGAGGTCAGAGGACAACCTGCAGGATTCTCGACTTCCATTACGTGAGTCCGGGGAATCGAACTCAGGTCAACAAGCTTGGCGGCAGATGCCTTTACCTGCTGAGCCATCCATTGCACTGGCCAAGACATCTTTCCTCCCAAAGCATAAAGACAATCTCAAGAAGAAAGAAATCAGGGAGAAATCCACTCAGAGAGCGCCTACTTTTCATGGGGGATGTCTTAGGAGAGAACCTGTCACAGCAGTCCCTCAGAGGGTTGGTCACACAGGCAGCTCTCTCTCAGCTACAACCCTTCCAAATGCCTACGACCTTATGAGGTGGACTAAGATGCAAGTGTTGTTTCAACATATTCCACTGCTCAGCAAGTATTAGCATCCAAAGTGAGACCTTTACATGTGAATATTCCTGTAGCAGAACCCAAAGGGTTGCTACAGAAATGCTCCTCGAGATGCCCATCCCCCCAGGGAGACCAGAGTCTGTTTTCAGCTTATACCCAGAAGGCAGCTAGGGAACAACAGGTTGGGACTGACGGCGCTGTAGCCCCTCACCTCTTCAGGCAGAGTGATGGTGAGTTCGGCATCCGTCTGGCCTACGATTCTCGAGTGGAAGTAGCTGCTGCACGCAGCCAGCACCGCGCGGTGGGCTCGGAACCGCTGGCCCTCCACCACGACCGTGACATCGCACAGCACATCCCTCTTCCGCTGGTCATTGAGGCTCAGCAAGACGTTGGTGCTGTGCACAGAAGACTCATAGGCAAACAGTGCGCTCTCACTCACAGACATCCTGGGTGGCAAACGGGGTCAGGGAGAGCAGTGGGAAGCATGCTTCTAACTGTCACCGACCTGCAAACACACAGGGAAGATGTCACTTAACAGATCCTGGGGGGAAATGTGTTTGAAACAACAAACTGTCAGCATGAATTAAAATATGTACTTGTCACTAACACAAAAATGGAGACAAACGTCTCCAGAAGGACAAACCACAAGTAAAGCAGGCTGATGGAGTAATTCTAATTTTAAGGCAAAAATCTTAGAGACAGTTAGAACGTCCTGAGCTCAGGAAGTGCTGGGTGCCTGAAAGTAAGTTTACAATGAGAGCAGGTTTGATAGGAGCCAAGGCCTGGCTAAAACCTTCAGTCCAAATCCCACCCTCTACTTGAAGAGAGGTCACGGTGTGGCCAGAGCGGGGAGGTCACATGCTGGGATGGGGCACCCCACCATTCTTCATGTCCTGTTCACCCACAATGAGGAGAGAATAGTCAAAGGCAGAGCTTCCTCTCCAGAGTCTCCAATAACCGAAGGTCAAGTTCATTCGGAGGCACAGGAAAAGGGGTTCCCATGTGTCAGGACACATCTGAGAATTCACTTTCCACATGCTATACTCTGGGAGGCCAAAGTCAGGCAAAGAACATGCGCAGAAAGCTTTGGTTTCCTCAAAATGCTACAGTGTAAGACAAAGTCATCATTATTTGGACATAAAGTGGCTTCCAAACTTTTTTTGAGCATGTGCACAATACTGGCACTCAAAGAAAGGAGGTACCGCAAATACATGTGTGCTTGTCATTTCTGCCAGGACTGTTCTGCTCTACACACCCTGAGACACACGAGGACCTGTAACTGCAGAGTCTAAGGGATGCCAATTTCCTGCAGCCCCCACAGCCTGTGCTAACTGCAGAGTCTAAGGGAAGCCATTTTCCTGCAGCCCCCACAGCCTGTGCTGAGCATCCCCAGGTGTGCGCCCAGAGATGATGCCCTAGGCCCCTCTGCATGACTCATTTCTTCCTACATCGGCTTCCCTGTCTGACCCCCAGAGGGTCAGTGGAGGAGACACTGTCATGCTTTCAGATTTGATCCATCCCAAGAAAGCAGAAATCTCAAGTTCACTCAGATCACAGACGGGCTCCACCTCACCATCCCGGTGTTTCAGCTGCAAACAAGCAAAAATCAATTCCTAAATCCCCTTCAAATCTGTGTTTGCTTTTACACAGGTAAGCCATGAAAACACGGTCGTTTGGTTTGTAGTGAAACTCTGCCTCCAGTGAAGGATCCAGCCTTCCTTTAGCTGACCCAGCATACCACCAACACCATCGGCAAGTTCAACATTAAACGTGAAGGTGGATGAGCTTGGGGTTGCACCCTTACAGAAGGAGCAGTCTGATTCTTCTCAAAATGGGTCTTCATGATTCAGTTATCAACAAAAGCAATCTCTAAGAACTGCTGGGAACAGTAGAGATTAGCTTTTCAAAATCCTGTTTTCTCCTATTGGTGGGAGCTCTGGGATCAGGAGTCCTCCTTCAAGTCAGCTGTCTACACTGGCCTGCCAGCCAAGGCGAACGCCACAGCTACTACCCCATGCTGGCTCTCACGCTTTCCAGCCACCCAGGTTAAAAACCTGTAAAGGTGTGTGTTAGGCTTACCCTTACCACTATCATCCTAGTGAAGACCACACAGCCAAGTGAAAGTGTAAAAGCTTCAAGACTGAGGCAGCCATCGGTGTGCAATGTCAGGAACTCAACACTATCCATTAAAGTTCTATACACGCCCTCGACTCGCCTCACAACGGCTTTCCAACTTGCTGTTTCTCTTCTCTGTGGAAAGACAAATGGCACACCATAACCTAAGGGCCTGGTGGCCTGTTGCTTCTCTGAGGTACAGTAGGCCACAGCTTACTTCAGACCCCAGAGAGAATCTCATCTGGTTTATCACCCTCCGCCCCCGGGTGGGCATTTTTCAGTAACAGATTATATCACAGGTTCACATCCCCCGGGGAGGAAGTGAGCATTCACACTGGGAGGATGCCAACCACAAGTGCTATCAACCAGAGTTGAAGTGGCTAGCATCAGAAACTGAAATAAACATGAAGACCCACTAGGATCCCTATCGGTGGACCAAGTACAGCTCACAGTAGGAACTCCACTGCTCCCGTGGAAATCTGGGATCCACTCGTCACACTTTTCTCAGCCAGGTACAAATATGTGATGCCTGCCACACAACACCCCACAGACCCCAGAGCCTTCCCTCTCCGTGTGCCATCACTTGGATAACTTCCGGCAGCTGACTCTTTACCTTTTAGGTCTCAGTCTAAATGTCACAATTTTGTCTAGGCTGAGCTCTGCCACAAATCCTAGTATACAGGACAGAGCTTTGCCCAGCTATAGACACTTGCTGCTGAATGACTTGGCATTTTTAATACTATCCAAACCCAGATTGTGCACATCTTCCAAACATTCCATTCGTCAATGGAAATGCACTAATCAGGGCTCACAGAATGAAGAACTAGATGGATTTTCCAGAACCACAAAAGGCCAAATGGATGCCAGCTCAACCCCCTTGGAGCTACAAACAAATGGCTGAGGAGTCAGGGCTGCCAACTGGAAACACCATCATGACAGTGACTTGCAGCAACAAAGACACCTTGACCTCTGTCCTCATTACAGCGGGCACTGCCCAGGGGTGTTCTGAACTAAGCCGTCAGTAATGCTTTTTACCCAACACCTGAACTATGTAAGGACCAGGCCTGGTTCCCATCAACACCAACCAGGCGCCGTCGAACACTTCTCAAACCTCAAAGCAAACTACTGCACTGCAGCCGCTCTCATCTGTAGCTGTTAATTACCAAACCCAAACTCGGACTCACCACACTTGAATAGTTTTGTATTCTTGGATAGACACCATTGTCTCCGCTCAAGCAAAGGTGTGCTCACTGACCTTAGAAAACTGCTGACTCATCCCCTCAAGCTGACAAAGGATGAACAAGCACTTTAGCGTTTCCTGAACTTGAGTCTGGAGAGGCTCTGTACTCTACCCACCAGGGACAAGTTACATTTAAAAACAGTTAATGTTTGGCTGGTGTTTTCACTTTCAAAATGACACTGAAAAATAGGACAAAAGGCTGGGATTCATCACATCTTAATAACTTTTCAGATAATTTACAAAAGAGAAAACTCGGCCTGAGATCATCTAAGACGGCAGGGCCAGGTCTGTAAAGCTTCCCATGGCATAAATCGAGGGTGCAGCTTTGCCTGACTATAAAGCTGTAAGTGCACAAAGGACTATTTGCCACACAAATCCCAAGTCTCAGGACAGGGGGTACAATAAACAAGACTGCCGTCCGAACATTCCGTCTTCACTGAACATGACACAGGTGCTTTCTTCGAGGGTTACCTGTGCACTCTACCCACGAGGTGCCACAAGAACACAAATGAAAGACAGGTCCATTCGGGAATGTGACTTAGATGCTCAAAAAGGGAACGAGGATTCAGGGTAAACAAGGCGGCGGCAGCCACCAATTCACACCAGACACCAAAGGTGTTTACAGGAAATATCAAGATAAAAGCTCAACGTTTTTCACTTCATCATACTAGTTAATAATGAGAAAAATACTGTCAAAATTGTTAATCACGAGAGAGAGAGAGAGAGAGAGAGAGAGAGAGAGAGTGTGTGTGTGTGTGTGTGTGTGTGTGTGTACACGCACTCGAGCACAAACATCCAAGTGCGACCAATGGACATCAGAAATCGTATTTTAAAATATTCACGATGGCTCTTCTGGATCTGCAGCTGATCCAGTCTTCCAAACATGGCTTCTTCTCCTTTCTAGTAGCTTCTCCTGGATGCTGTGCCTGCTGCTATCTCGTCACCTGTCGTGACGGTATGTCCACCTAACAGGACTGCAGGGCCTTTGACGGCAAACTCCAGAACCCACTATCTTTCCTGAACCTTGAGAAGCTTCCAATTCCCCAAGTCAGTTCCTGTATTCCACACTGAGCTACCCAGAATGTGAGTGTCCTTAAATCTGTCTGTCAGCCTTATCATCAATCTCTCAAGTAGGTGACAGACAGCTGACACACTATGGTGTGTGCACATTTAGTCCTTTGCCTTCAGGGGCTTTACTCTTCTTTAAAACGTTAAAAATTATGATGAGGCTTCCCATAGAAAAGAATCCTCAAAAACATGATGCTTTTATTATTATTCTCAAGTTTTCAAAAACACCTTAACATCAAAAGCTCTGTGGAAATTTAAACCTGCAATGTCCTCCCAATACCCGGAGACCTGGCTCACTGGCCAGGAAAGAGCCAGATAGGATAAACCAGCAGCAGAGGGCTCTACTTCCTTTAACCTCTTGGAGGCTTGAATGTCACTGGTGTTCAGTCACCCACCCCTGACAGCACATCTCTGAGGTCAGTTCCCTTAACCTCAAAGAAGCCTAAAGTAGGACTCGACAGGGAACACTGGTGAACAAGAAGGGGAAAGCAGGGGTGCCAACAGCCAGGGCTCAGGAACGCCCTGGAGAGTTGGATTGAAACATTCTGCGGCTAAAGAGGCAGCAACCTTTCAAAATTAAAATTTCAGGTCTGCACAGAAAGCAGTGGGCTTCATCACAGCACTTTCAAACACTTGGTTCTAATTGGCCCTCCCCAGCCACACCCTCCCCTGTACCCTGTCCCTCCTCTCCCTAGCAGCCTTCCCGCTCCGGGTAGTGTCTTCCTGCTCCCCACCCCCACCCCCTGCTTTTGCAGCACACAGACTTCATAACTTAGAAAAACATCAGTAAGAACATTGCAGCACTGGGGTATAGCTCAATTCTGGCTAGGCCTCTCTCTCTTTTCCCAATCTTACCAATGACATAGTTAAGTAATGACCGGTTTTGTTTTCTTGGTTTTTGTTTTGTTTGGGTTTTGGGTTTTTTGAGACAAGGTCTCTACATATAGCCCTAACTAACCTGGAACTCACTCTGCAGACCAAGCTAGCCTTGAACACAGATCTGCCTGCCTCTGACTCCCAGGTGCTGGGATCAAATGTGTACACCACCATGCCTGACCTGTCCTATACTTATTGGATTAAGTGTTGTACTTGAAGTTTTAAGACAAAGTTGAGGCGAGGAGCTGGAACTGTTAGAGAGCCTAAAAAGTTAAGTCTCCTTCCTACTCAGACATCAGCAACAGGAGATTCTTCACATCGCAAATCTGCAAAGCTCTCTTTGCTGATTTGGTCATAAGTTCAGAAAAGCCTGTTAGACACTTCAGGAACAATATGAAAGAAAGCAAAACCCTGAAAACAGAAGACAGTCCACCACTCTACCTGCTGCCTTCCTCTCTCAAGAACTTGAGAAACAACTGGGGCTCGTGTGTGCTCAAAGCACTGGCCAACTACTTAAAGTTTTAAAGGGCCTGCTGCATCTTTCATGAAAATGGGCACTAGCCGCTAGAACTGGTGTTAGTGTTCAGGCGTCTGCACTGGCCTGTCCTTGGGGTTCAACAGGATACGCCCTCAGCTGCACCACTGAGAGCACCACCTGTGCACATTCACTATGCTCCCTTTCAAAAGGGCCCTGCCCACCTCCACCCTTCTCCTTCTTTCTCTCCCTCTTTCCTCTCTCCCCCTCTTTCTCCTCTCTCCTGCTGCTCCTGTCCCTGGGGCTGGTCTTCTCCCTTCTCCTTTCCCCTTTTAATGATCCTTTTCCCCTAATAAAAAATCCCTCTGCTTGAACCCTGTCACTTGGTGTCTTTCTCTTGAGGGCTGCGTTTCTTAAATTACAACAACCAGTCCATACCAAGAAAGCATCCTTCTGAACCCAGACTTTCCATCAAGCATCATCAGTGATCGTTATCAACTGTGGCTACACAGTACACTGGGTGAGCTGCCTGTGTTTGTGTTGAGCGCTTCAGTGAGCTTTCATTTTGTTATGTTTAAGACATGTCTCATTGTGTAGCCCAGGCTGGCCTCAAACTCCAATTCTCCTGCCTCAATGTCTCAAGTTTCAATAAGCTTTGAAAATTGTATGCACATGAAACCAGCACCGAGGCATCTAGGTTTCTGTTACGCCTCAGAATCCGCATGGCCCTTTCGAGTCTCCTCTGGGCTCCTGGCTACTGGAGGCCAACGGCCTGGTGTCTATCATCATCACTGTACAGTAACATGAATTATTTCCCTTTTGGCATGCAAATGGATTGTATCCTGCACTCGTTCCCAAGTTTCTTTCAGTCAGCTGAATGGTTTCAAAAACACACTGATGCTAAGAACACCTGATGTTTCTTTTTGCTGCTGCTGTTGGCAAATATTCCATTGAACGAATATGCTTCAATTTGTTCAGCCACTTAACTGGTGAAAAACATAGATAACTGACCTCGTATCAGGTTGGGGTGATACTAAAATATTATTAAACATCTGCCTGGACACACACTCACCCCACATTCCCAGGGTAATTGCCTAGGAAGACAAGAGCTGAGTGATATGGAAGGTGTATTTTATCAATCATACAATACTTTCCCAGATGGACTAAATCAACTCACTTTGCTAAAGCAGTGCGTGGCTGTTCTAATGGCTCTATGCCAGCACTAACCCATGGCAGTGCCATCCTCTGGATCTTGACTATCCTGGTGTGCACTGAGTATTGCATTGTGTTTTTTATTTGTGTTCCTGGTGGCTAATAACACTGAGTATCTTCACATGTGCTTGTGTTGGCCATTTTTTATCTCCTTGCATGAATATATTTAATTCTTCTTGTTTTTAATCTTTGAGTCAGGAGAGCTAGTAGAATTATGATTAGGGTTGCAACAAAACTATCTATTAATTTAGAGAA